TATAGACAATCTCGAAGTAACAGTTATGGGAAACTTATGGTAAACTTAGATCAATAAACTAATGTCTATTGAATCAATACAATAAATATTTACACAATAATTGTATGAGCACGTGTGCTTATGAATCAAATGATTACCAAGTTGCGCTGATAACCAAGTTCAGTTGATTCCGGGCGCTCATATCGCGCACCCCGTGATCAATGTATGGGAGTGTGTGTTTGACCCGGGCTTTCATTTAATCAATTTAATTTACACTAACGAGTCTTTGTATTGATATTATCGCAAACATTTGTATCACATTTAACGCATTCAGCTTAAAGTGCATGTGATTTGTAATACAAATTCATTTTTATCACACAATTATTCCTATAGTGTTAGGAATTTTCTCGTCATTCCTTATGATTTAGAGCCCATAAGACTTGTATCAATTGTGATGACCATTGCTTCCTAAGGGATAATAAATCACAAGTCAGTTGTCATCTATACTATCAAAATATACATATTTTTCAACACAAAACATACAAATCCAGTGAATTCTTGAGAGACAGTCTTATCAGCAAAGTTATTATCAAATAAATTCACTTTCAGTTCAAACAACCATAAGATATAGCAAAAAAGTTATTTCAAATAAAGTAACAAAAAATAAATTGAAAAACACTTTAATATCTCGTAAATGAAGTTTAAAAATAATATTTCATTAAAAACTATACAAGTGTTTGATTGAAATTAAATGACAGCAAAAAATACATAATAGATTCAGTTGGCAATCATCTCCGCTTCGGACTCTTCGCTACTCTCGGCGGCCATCTCTTCGTCTTCGGACTCGTCCTCGTCTTCGTCGCCCTCACGGATGACCACAACTTTGCCTTTGCTTTTGTCTCTCACGAGTCCGGCCGCCGGCGACTTAATGAGCGACATATCTCTCTTCACTTCTTTGCGATCCCTTTCCCTCTCAAATACGGTTCCCTTTCGTAACCGATTCATCAGATAATGTGATTCTCGTTTCTGGCGAATCATATCCACTCTCTTCATGGCATCGATGGTCTCATTCCAGAGCTTCCGGTCGTACTTCACGGGTATATTCCTCCGCTTCTCGAACTCAAAAGTCGGATCCACTTTCAGCTCCTTATTGTTGGCCTTACGGAAGGCTTTCGTCCAACGCTTCCGCCGGGGATTACACTTATGTTTGAAGTTTTTATGGCATTTCGATTGACAGAAGCGAAAGATCTGATCCCAAAAATAGAGACAAACACATGGGTTAACAAACATTACGTAAGAAAACAAATAATCACGGCTTAACGTAAAACCAAATCAGTGGCCAAACACTCGTTACAGTGAACCAAAAAAATGGCGGACACTATCGGTGACCATATCATGCATATGTCCGACACGTGTGTCCGTACACTATAACCAATGTGTGACCGAAACGGTGGTCACTGATTGGCTGTGCGTCGGGTGGCCTCAAGACATACCTTGCAGTCGTTGCGGACAAACTGAATGCCGTGTCCGGGATATACAGGCGATGAACAGAAATAGCAGCGCTCTATACGCATGACTGGCCACTGATTAGCGCACTATTAGATGACAATCAAGTCTTAAATTGTGTTTTATTTATGCAATCAATTGATGGCTAAAACACATGCAAACTGTGAACACGTTTTTCTCACACATAAATATTTCGCTCACAACTGCTGTCCATATATTACGTCCGCTTTTATAGCGTTTGATGTTTGGGTGAAATTAATTAATATTTAATTAGTTTTTAATTAAATATTAATTATAAAAGTTTGTGTGACTTAATTGGCCCTCCATTTGAAGGTGAAAATAGTATTAAATGTTTTGACTTAATTAATTAAATCAGTTTTACTCAAAAGCCATTAACAGGTATTTTACGGACGTATTTAATGCCAGTTTCAGTGGAGTTAATGTCAAATGAAAATCAGTTCACAAAACACAACATAAAAATCACATTTCATTTCTTGTGTTTGACTTTAAATTGTAATTTAAAACACAATTAAAACTTATAATTAGTTTATTTATTAGAAATTAATATAAAATCTCAGAAAATCACCGCAAAGTTTTCAGCCGAAGAAACAAAAGCCATGGATTCAATGGAGACGATAAGCGGCGGCGATAATCAACAGCACTCGCCGTCTTCGGCCACCACCGGGTCGTCATCGGCGGTAATGAAGGACATCGAGAACAATAAGGACCGCGAGATCGCCATTCAGGCCCAGACCGAGTACGAGGTCGGCAACAATGGTCTGGTACTGGAACTGCTGGAAACGCTCGGCACCAACAAAGCCATTCAACACAACCGCCTCATCACTCAGTTCGCCATCGATGGTAACGTGAACTCACTGTTGGACGGACTCATCACCAGCGAAGACATGGACGTGGATCAGCACGTGCTCATTGACTACAACCGGGCGCTAGTGTTGGCCAAATACATGCAGCGCTACGACGAGGCCATCGATCTGCTGGAAGTGCGGCGACAGCTCTTCACCAACGAATCCATATTTGGTTTTGTCGACGACAAGCTGGCCGTCAAAGTGTGTCACCTGTTGGTCGTGCTATACCTCGAGCGCCGCAAAGATCCGGCCAAAGCGCTGCCACTGTTGCAGACAATCACCGAGAAGTGCGACACGTCTTCATTGCCACACAATTTGCAACAATTGAAAGCCAAATGCTATCTACAGATGGGATCCGTGAAGAGCGCCAAACGGGAGCTGAAAGCGGTCGGCGGACAACCGCTGTTGCGGTCGTATCTGGAGTTTCAGCGAAACAATTACCGCAAAGCGATGAAAGTGTTTCAGACGTGTGCCGACACCGAGAGTCCGCTGTATGTGAACAACGAGGCGCTCATCAACTATGGTCTCGGAAAACGAAATACAGCCGTCTTTTTGATGACCAAAACACTGAAATCGAAACCAAATCCCGAAACTCTGTACAACTTTGCGATCTTCCATCTCTTCACAGGCAATCCCGACAGCGCTTTCGACATACTCTACACATTGGCGCCGCTTTACCGCAAGAATCCTCAACTCTGGTTCCGGTTGGCCGAGAGTCGGCTCCAGAAGTACCGCAACGGTTGCCAACAGGCGGCCAATCAGAAGACCGACTTTGATCTGTGCCGACGTAAGCACGACATCGTGTGCGGACACGTCGGTGAGGGCGCGCACCGGAAGCTAGTGTTGAACGGCTGCTCCCAAGCGGTGAACACGGACTCAGAGGCGCTGTGCTTCGCGCGCTCGTGTCTGTCCAACGCGTTGACACTAATCAACGCCGACGACCGGTCATTCTTGCCGTCCAATCCGCCAACAGATCCCGAACTCAATCGTCTGAAGATATCGATCCTCCTATGCCTGGCGTACGTGAACCTAACGCTCTGCGACTATTCCCTATCCATACGACACGCCAACGACGCCCTCAAACTGTCGCCCGTCGGCTACCAGAAAGTGTTGGCCCACTTATACGCCGGCGAAGCACTCGTTTATTTGGACCAAATAAGCGAAGCGATCGGTCATTTCAATCCAGAACTCTTCTCCACCGCCAACACTACCGCCGCCGCCAACCAGTCCTCCCATAATAATAATAATAACAGTAATAACAATAATAATCACACGAATAATAGTAATAACAATAACAATACGGGCGGCGAAGTGGACAAAACGGTGAGCCCGTTGTGGTTCAGCAGCAACTCAGGCAAAGCCGTTCTGCTGTACAACCTGTCGATGGCGTACACACTTCGGGGAGAACTGGACAAAGCGTCGGACACATTGAGACAAGTGGGACAGGTGTCCGACCAGAGTATCACCGGTCAGGTGTTTATGCTGGCCGTGTATTTACAGCTACAACAGGGAAACACTGATTGCGCCAAAACTCTCATCAAATCTCAATTACCGCAATACCGATGACCACCGCAACCGACCGACCGCTCTGCCCCTGAACCCGCTTTAAATCAATGATTGTATTTTGAATTATAATGTTTTCTTTTATTGCAAATCATTTATAATTATTATTAGACTTTGTTTATTAGAGTCAATAAAATATCTCAATTAATTTAATCACTTTTTGCTGTTATTTATAATTTGCGACATTAATGTAAAAATGTGATACTGTATTCTGGATACTGATATTGACTTAAAACTTTCTAAGACTTTTTAGTATTCATGCAATTCTATGTCCGAGGAAAAGGTAATTGAATTATAAATACATTATTTCAACACTTATTGCATTGATGTATAGAATGTATTGAGTAATACATTAACAATATTATAGTAAAAATTTTAAACTAAATTAAAATTTTTAACAATGGTTTGAAAAAGTTGCCAAATTTTCTTCGCCGAGTTGCCAACAAAAACGTATACCGCTTTTGTCACAATCTTCCGCACACTATCACCAAAACCACATCCAAACCACTTACAAATCACACCAAACTTCACAAACCCATCAATAATGACCACAACTACTACTACTGCTTGCAGTCAAACACAAACCACTTCTGGTGCCATACAATCGGCCGAAAGAAGTGGACGACACGAGTGCTGTGTTGTAAAGCTCTGGCAAAGAGTCAGAGGCAGAGCCCAAGACAGAGATTTGAACGCCACCAACGGTTCCACTCATGACAGACAACAGAAGAGAGGGAATCGAGAGACGGATGTCTTGGATAACACGGGAACCACAGCCCCGACCATAACATCGGCTGTTGAGAGGAGGGCTTCAGTGGCGACAAGAGTTGACCAACACTTGAGTCCCGACGAACAGCAGTGTTCTCTGTGGAGATCAGCTGAGAATGTCTTTAACACCGCTTTCAAAGCCATTCGAAGGATTCCTAAAAGGATTCGCACCAAAAGACACAACAGAGCGCTCGGAAAACGGCTCAAGTCGTTAGGCTTCGGACCCAACGATTCCATACCAGAGATCAGCTTTGGATCTGTTATTACGATCCGAACCAATGCTTTGTATGACTTGTCGGCCGAAGAAGAGGACAATGAGTCGGAGTGGAGACCAATTGAGGAGTCGATCACAACAGACACGACCAAAGAGTCGACAGACGTTTTGGTCACAAACCAATTGATCGGATGTCTGGAGAAAAACATATCCACTTTGAAGAGCACTCTTCGAGACATAGACTCACTGTTAGAGTCAACTCAAGTGGAGGACAAAGACAAGTGTCCCCAACAGGTCTCCACTGTGTCTGCGGTGGCCCTCGACTTACCATCAGTTGCCGAAGACGTGGACTCGGTTTCGATGGAATCGTTTAATCTGGAGATCGGCATCGCGTGGAAGAGCGCAGAGTTAAGGGTTACTCGAGCTGTAGAGCAGTCGGTGGCGGACATCACCGCACAGTTGCTGTCACTACACACGGAGGACAACGACGAGTGCCCACAACTGGTCTCAACAGTGTCTTCGGTGCCTCGACTTACCATCAGTTGCCGAAACAACAGCTGCCGAAGACCTGAACTCGGTTTCGATGGAACCGTTTAATCTGGAGATCGGCATCGCTTGGAAGAGAGCGGAGCTAAGAGTTGCGAACATGACCTCAAAGTTGGTGTCATTACAAACGTCTCCCGAAGAGATGGACTGCGATTCGATGGAATCGTTTGGTCCGGAGATAGCAATCGCGTGGAAGAGCGCAGAGCTTAGAGTTGTGGAGCGGGCGGTGGCGGACATCACCTCACGGTTAGAGTCCTCACAGATATCACTCGTGTCTCCCGAGGAATGCATTCAAATTCCAGTTCTTGAGCCCAAAGAGACTGTTATTCTAAAGTATTTGCAAGAAATGGTGTCAAAGAGTGAGGTATTGGCCATCAAATCATTGGGTGAGAAGACAATCGACTCCAGAGTCGACTTCGATGTCGACGTCAAGCGCGAGGTCTCGGTTGCGAACATCATAGCGGAGATCGACGACAAGCAAACGGGTGTAGAGTTAGCGCTGTTTGTGGCCAAAGGTATCGCTGAGGAGAGACTCGCGGACACGACTGCAGACACCACACGACACAAGCAGTCGTGGAAAGAGCTGTTGGATGTGTTGCGAGACATCGAAAGAGAAAGTGATAGTCTTTGGGCACAAACTCTTCGCTCATTGGACTCAATGGAGACCACATCTGGTGATCGGAAACACGACAAGCATTGAGACAACCGATGCTGTAATGGGTGTCCACTCAGGCATCGGCTGACAAACGCTAACCACAGCTAAAGCTTAAGTAGATCTCCAATCGGCCGAACAGATGGTTAGTCAATGGCCGGACGCTCTTCAGGACAGGACTACTGTCACCAGTGATGACGGTCTGCAAAGCGAGTGCTTTGACCCGAAGGCTACCCATCGCTTCCGGTTTGGTCTGACGGACGTCTGTGTCGAATATCAATGGTTTAATCAGTAGTTTGGACTAAACTCCGGATCTAGTCTTCGGATGGCCTCAAATGGTTAACCCCTTCTGCCATACGATTCACCTGTGAGTCAATGCACACCACAATCAAAGAAAGCCATAAACTTTTAATTCACTATTAATTTTAGTCATTAAGTTATTAACAAAATTTTAAAAAGTTTTCAATTTTGTATCTCATTTAGTGATAAGTTTTCACTTTTTTGTATTTTATTATTAATTTTATGCATTTGTTCTGTAATTAAATTATTCATAATTTTATATAACTTTTTAAACTAAATTTAGTAAATAATTTAATAAATAAAATTATATTTC